CACATCTATTGGGCTGTTTTAGCAATATAATAATCAATAGCACAAATAAATTGCACAATATGTACAAAGAGCTTGCAGTAAAAATAGTTATTTTAATTTTGATAGCAAAAAAGGAAAAGAAATTGGGTACTATGCTATGTGGCCATCCTTATTTCAAAAGATTTATCAAATAAGGAGGTACTAGTTCATTTGGTGAATATACTTCTAAAAGGTAGAGCACTTTAATGACAGAAGCTGTTATGTCACCAAAGAAAGCTGTGAAATAAACCCTGAAAATGAACTGCATTTCACAGCTTGAAGAGAACACATCAAAAGTATCAATACTCATATTTTTCCTCCCCCCCAAAAAAAATCCAAATAAAATTATGAAGACACAGAACAAACTGAGCCACTCATGTGAACTGATCCAGTGTACCAGGTTTCCAAAAAAAAATGTAGAAAATACCCAACCTAATGCAGGAAATACACATTTTTTGAAATGTCTGTCAGTCTGTTCAAGAACTTCTCCTAAATGGTAAAAGCTAGGATCTCCATATTTGGTATGCAGCTTCATCTTATTCTAACTTCAAGCAAGGTCAGGGTTTGGTTGTGCCAAGAAAATGGGAAGTGCTAGGAATGGGATTGTTTTCCAAAACATGAAAAGAGAGGGCACAGAGAGGAGGGACATGATATTGAGAGTGGCCACTGAAGGCAGCCTGCAAGGGAAAGCCATACTGCAGAGACACCACTGGAAGCAGTCACACCACCAAATGACCCACACAGAGACAGATTGGGCACCACTGGAAGCAGTCACACCACCAAAGGAGTGACCCACACAGAGATTGGGCTCCACTATGTGGCCTGCCACCAAACTAAGTAAATAGCCCCCTTTCCCCTAATCCTCCCCCACCACAGCAATGGGGCAGGGAAGGGTGCAAGAGGAGACAGAACACCCTTGGCAGTCATGGATGCAAAACAAAACCCTGCCAGTGGGGGGGGGGGGGGGGGGAGGGAGAAAGAGAGAAAGCCATACCAGATAGGACTTCTAGTAGGAAAATATAAGGCAACAGATTTTAAATGTAAACAGTATTAACTAGTCTATGTCTATTATTCTATTAGTCTAATGTTTGTAAAGTAACAAGTATTATTACTGACAATTAAAAGAACTATAAAGGCTTCAATTTATCCTTCACAGATAGATTGGATGCATCCTGTATTATGTGATAACACTTTACAGAGTATACTTTGGAAGAGCAGGTAAAAATTAGAGATGTTAGCATGTATCTATTTACATGATTAACTGATAAGTCTGGGCTCATCAGTTAATCCTTCTGGTTACACACACTCCCCCCCCTTGCTGCCTTTCTATCAGAGGCAGCGGGGGGGGAGAGGAAGGAGTGGGACCCAGTGCTCATGGGGAGCCAGCTTTTAAGCCAATTCCATCCACATGCTGGCTCCTGCAGAGCCACCTGCCCCCATTCCTGCCTCCCACGGAAGCAACAGAGGAGGAGGGGGCAGGCATGAATCAGCACACGTAGGGAACTGGCTTTCAAGCCAGCTCCCTGCGCATATCAACTGCTGTGGAGACAACGTCCCCTCCCCTCATGCCGCTGCCTCTATATCAGAGGCAGCAATGCAGGGGGGAGGGGGCAGCTGGTACATGTGGGGAGTCAGCTTTTAAGCCAGCTCCCATGGAGCCATCTGTCCCTCCTCCTGCACTGCTGCCTCTGATACATGGAAGTGTCAGGGAGGCAGGATCCCATACATGCGTTAAGCCAGAGCTGCCTGTCCCCGTCCCCCCCGCCACTGTGTCAGCAGTTACACTTTTACAAAAATAAACAAACATCCCTAGAAAAAATGTACCTACTTTAGGTCTTGTACATAACTACTGTGATTTCTATTGCTAAGTAGAACAGAGCAGCAGATTCTGTCGGGGGTAAACCCTTAAAAAAATGTTCACTTTTGCCCTAGAGCAGCTCAGGGCAGGAACCAATAAAAGCACACAAGCCTTCCCACCACCACCAGATGCAGAAAGGGAGAAAAAGCATCAGATACCCTAAACGAATTATGATTATTTAACAAACTCAATTGCCCACACACTATTACAACACATACACATCATCATTCCATTATGTACGCTCAACTCAGCACCCAGCACTACCCATCCAACCTCCCACCATACACGCACACAAATGTAAATGGAAAAAAGGGTATTAGACATTTGAAATTTTCTACTTTTAATAAATGGGGTAATAAAGTTAGCAACAGATTTCAATTTTTATAATAGTGTGTAATTTTAAATGAACACCAAAAAACCCATCAAGCACAAAGCTCATATTGTAAAAATGAGGAGCCCAGTAGCATCTTAAAGAGGAACAGATTTGTTTGCAAGTGGGTTTTTTTGCCCGTGAAAGCTTATGCCCAAACAAATCTGTTCGTCTTTAAGATGCCACAGGCCTCCTACTTTTTGCAGATACAGGCTAGCACAACTACCCCTCTGATATTTCAAACTCATACTGAAAGCCAAGGAAAAACAGTTAAAGTTGCAACTCTAACCTTAAATAACCATGTTGTGGTATATACCGTAAAGGCTGAACAAAAGCATGTACTTTTACATATCACATAACTTAGAAATACGACATTTCAATCCTTAACGGTTCAAGTCAGACACTACAATACCCTTTTGGCAGTTACAGGGTAGCTGCATACATCTGATGATTTCCTCCAGAAGAAGGCTCTCTCACAGTGGGATAAAGGCCTAACTTTGTACCCCAAACTCCCTTTTCAACTGCACAGCTACTTGCGATGGGCCAGGACACTTCATGCTGTTAAGAAGTTGGACATTTGGGTTCTGGACAACAAAAGGCAAAGAGAGACCGAGAGAAGAGCCCAGAGAAGGCAGCTGAGCGTTACTCGCACGCGCCGTGTCTGTCAAGCTCATGGGGACTGCGCCCTTCTAGCACGGGACATAGCGTGCGGGTTACAGCGCCCGAGGGCCCCCTGCCCCGGCACCCGAGGGAGGGCAGGGCTGCTCAGGGGCAGAGGGGCGGCGCGCGCGAAGGAGGCGCGAGCGGGGCGCGCGGGCTGCGAAGGCGGCTGAGGGAGAATGACCTTCGGACAGCCCGCGCGGCCCCTCCCGCGGGAACGGAGCCGCCCCCCGCGGGGTCCCGGCCCGGCCCTTACGCTCGAAGTCCG